AACCTTGGATTACCCCAGAAATTAAAACCGTCCTCAAGCAGAAGAGGAGGGCCTTCAAATCCAGAGACAAAGAGGAGTTGAAAAGGGTGCAGAGAGAGCTGAGGGGACTGATAAGGAATGGGAAGGACAGCTACAGGCAGAAGATGGAGAACCAGCTTCAACAAAACAACGTTGGTGAAGTCTGGAGAGGCCTCAGAACCATCTCGGGCCACAAACAGCAGAACTCTCTCCCTGGGAGGGATGTGAGGTGGGCAAATGAACTGAATCATTTCTTCAACAGATTTGACTCAGCCATGAGGCAGTCTGCAACATCGGCTGCAGACTCACCCACCCCCACTGCTGCTGTTCCACCTCAGACACTTCACACCTCCTCTATTCACCCTGCTCACTCCCCCCCACCCCAACAACACATCCAATACACACTCAACACAAGGCTCCAGCCTGTCTCTCTCAACCACCCAGGTTAGGAGGGAACTGAGGAGGATTAATGGCAAGAAGGCAGCGGGTCCAGATGGCATCAGCTCGAGGGTCGTCAGTCCTGCGCGACCAACTGTGTGGGGTGATGGAGCACCTCTTCAACCTGAGCCTGAGGTTGGGAAGAGTCCCACAGCTCTGGAAAACCTCCTGTGTTGTACCAGTGCCAAAGACTTCACGCCCCAAGGACCTCAACAGCTACAGGCCGGTGGCTCTGACATCACACCTGATGAAGACCCTGGAGCGGTTGGTCCTGGCTCAGCTTCGGCGCCTAATAAGCTCATCACTGGACCCACTTCAGTTTGCCTACCAGCCTGGCATTGGAGCGGATGATGCCGTCATTCACCTCCTACATCGTTCCCTCGCTCACCTGGAGACCACTGGAAGCACTGTGAGAATCATGTTCTTTGATTTCTCCAGTACCTTCAACACTATTCTTCCCTCGGTTCTAAAGGACAAGCTGGAGAACTCTGGAGTGGACCATCACCTCACTACCTGGATCCTGGACTACCTCACCGACCGACCACAGTATGTGAGGACTCAGGGCTGTGTGTCGGACAGGGTCGTCTGCAGTACGGGGGCCCCACAGGGAACGGTTCTGGCTCCGTTCCTCTTCACCATCTACACTGCAGACTTCTCCCACAATTCCACCCAGTGCTTCCTGCAGAAGTTCTCTGATGACTCTGCAATAGTCGGCCTCATCACTGATGGGGACGACAAGGAGTACAGAGGTCTGACCCAAGACTTTGTGGACTGGTGCCAGCTGAACTACCTCCAGATCAACGCCAGTAAAACCAAGGAACTGGTGGTAGACTTCCGCAGGCACAAGCATTCTCCACTGCAACCACTGAACATCCAAGGTATGGACATTGAGGCTGTGGACAGCTACAGGTACCTTGGTGTTCATCTGAACAATAGGCTGGACTGGACTCATAACTCAGACGCCCTCTACAGGAAAGGGCAGAGCAGGCTGTACCTGCTGCGGAGACTCAGGTCGTTTGGAGTGGAGGCCCACTCCTGAAGAAATTCTATGACTCTGTTGTGGCTTCTGCTATCTTTTATGGCGTGGTCTGCTGGGGCGGCAGCATCTCTGCTGGGGACAGGAAGAGACTGAACAGGGTGATCCGAAGGGCCAGCTCTGTTCTAGGATGCCCTCTGGACCCAGTGGAGGTGGTGAGTGACAGGAGAACGGCGGCTAAGCTGTCATCCCTGATGGACAACATCTCCCACCCCATGCAGCAGACTGTGACAGCACTGAGCAGCTCCTTCAGTGGGAGACTGCAGCACCCACGGTGTGGGACGGAGAGATTTCGCAGGTCTCTCCTCCCCACTGCTGTCAGACTCCATAATAAAGACTTTAACTGATCAAGCACACACATCCATACATATGCAATAATACTAAGTGCAATAATCCTTTCTGTCATCGTTGTATTTTTACTCAGTTGTATATAGTATTTGTATTTGTATTCTATTTTATCTTATTGTATATTTATTTTATTTTATTCTACTGTATATAGTATTTTATTTTATTCTATTCTGTACAGTTGTGTACTGTATTTATTCTTATTGTATTCTAATTTTTGCCTCATAACTTTTGCACTGTCCACTTCCTGCTGTGACAAAACAAATTTCCCACGGTGGGACAATAAAGGTTATCTTATCTTATCTTATCTTATCTTATCTTATCTTATCTTATCTTATCTTATCTTATCTCACCAAACTTTTCCCACAGCTGAGTTTCTGCTTTTGTCACTGCCAGAGTTACAGTCCACTTTGCCTTTTGGTACTTGCCAGGTATCTCAGGAAATATACGATCTAACAAAGTCCTATGGGACGTCTTCTTTAATTCAACAGTTCTTTTCACATTTGGTGTCTGCTATCTACTTAGGAGGTTGCCACGATGACAGGCATCAGCTACCTCGCAGCCACAGCTCTGTACAGACACCTCAACAATGGAGGTGTGGAATGCAGTCCATTAAGAGTCAACCAAACTTGCTCATGGTTCTTCCCCAGCTGAAAGCTGTTGTTCCATGTCTCAACATCTAGTTTCAAAAGGCAGAAATCAGACTGTTAGGGCCTTCACCTAAAGCTGCACCCTGACTTGCATAGCACTGGACCTGCTCTTTGTCACTGTGCATAATTTTTTATGAACAGAATAATTTGGTGAAGCCAAGTGGCAGAAGGTCTTCACTTTGGTGGCCTCAAAATCTTATCATTGCTTTTTGGAGTAGTTTAAGTAACTTGGTGTCTTGTTCATAGGTGAGGGAAGTGTTTGATTGATGAATGGATTGGTACTGCTTCTGCAGTAATGGAGACACTCATTGTGGAAAACTGAGAGCTGAGCATTAAAGCAAAGCTGTCAATTTACCAGTTGGTCTGCATCCCCATCCTCAGCTGTGGTGGCAAGCTTTGGGTAGTGACCAAAAGAATGAGATTGAGGATATAGACAGCTGAAAGTTTCCTCCAAAGCGTGGCTGGGCTCTTCCTTAAGCCCTTTTTCCGTTGCTACCTACTTGAATTGGCACAAAGCAACTCGAGGCGGCACAACTTGTTTTCCATTACAATCGAGTACCACTTAATGTGCATGGGGTTGTTATAGCAACATGGCTGAACATCCCGTGTCGTCATTTGTATGTGACATGAACAAAGGTGGATGTCAAGGCGATGTTATACCTGCTGCTCGGTCTGTGGCTTTTTGTCAGGCTCAGCACCACGGTGTTGTTTCTGTGTGGGCATTTCCCTTGTTGCCAGGTACCAGGTTCTGTCATCTGATGGAAAACCCTAAAAACCGTGTCGAGCTGTACCGAGCTGACCCGAGTATGTACTAATGGAAAAGGGCTATTAGAGATGGGGAGAGGAATTCGGTTAATTAAGGTCTCAGAATAGAGATGCTACTCCTCCACATCGAAAGGAACCAGTCATCTGACTAGGGTGCCTCCTTGGTGCCTCTTAGGTAATGTATTCCAGACATGCCCCACGAGAAGACCCCCTGGCTGATTTGGAAACCTCCGGAAGAACTGGAGTAGGCGGCTGGGGTAAGGCAGGTCTGGGCGTCTCTGCTTGGACTGGTGCCCCTGCAACCCAGCTGCAGACGAATTGCAGTGGATGGATGGACTATTTAATCCCCAGAGAGAAATAGTCTCTTTAGCCGCAGCTAGCTGGATCTGATTTATTTTGACATGATATGCAAACTCCCAACTCCTTTTCTAGTTAAACTGGAAAAACTATTTCACTGTATTTAAATTTTATATAGAAACAGTTTTATCCAATTGTTTAGCTGTTCTATGAAATAATGTAACAGCTGTTGGTGTATTGTACATTTTCACACTCAAGACTAACAATTTATCTTGGGAAATCAATGAATTAAAGTAAATAGTAGCCGCTGCCTTTTTGTTGTTGTTACCTTGATAAGTTAAGACATAAGTTAAGTCATAAGTTTGACACAATGCAGATTGTTCTAGAAACAGAAACATATGTCCCATTGTTCTCAATTAACTTGTCATATTTACTGTAAGTCTTATTTACATAAACAAGCAACATTCTCACAACTGTGAAGTCCTACCTAAGAACAGAGAAGTCTGTTGGTATAGTCAGAGAAGGTTATGAGGGGTAGGATGGAAAAATGTGAGGATGGATGAAAAAGGTGAGAGAAGAGAAATAGAAATAGGAAAAAGAATCAAAGTAGGGGCTGGTGAAGAAGAAGGGGGCGACAGGAGTTGAAAAAGTGAGGCAAAAGAATTAAAATGAATGATGGAGGAAAGCAGGAGTGAGAACTGGGGAGGGAGGGAAGGAAGGAAACGGGTGAGACTGGGAGGTCCTGGAATTCTGTGTGGAAGGAGGAAAAGTCAGCCAAGGGAGAGATGGATGGGGAAACTGAATGAAGGACCGGAGAAAGAGAAAAAACTAGTATACCTAGTCAAGAAATGATGAAGAGAGGGACAGAATGGGGAGGGGACAAGACAGGAAGAAAATGAGTTTGTGAGGAAGAGAAGGAACATGACAAGAAAGGACTAAAGGAAGTAAAAGAAAATGAGAATCATCAGGAAGTTGATAGCAGGTAAATGATAGATGTCTTGATGCATGCTCAATCATCCAGGCAAGCAAATCCTGAAAGGTTGATTCTGCTCATCTGGACGTAGCATTTTTCCCACTGAAAACGTTACGCCCAGATGAACAGAATCAACCTTAAATGGTAGTTGGCATAGAAAATGGGAGAGGAGAGAATGAGATACGTGAATTTCCTTCACTTAAAGGTGAGTGAAGAGAGACAAAGGAAAGAGAAGATGAAAAAATTATAGAGCTGGGAACCAGAGACATGAAAGAAATAGCAAATTGTCTGGCAAGGGATGTAACAAAGGAAACAAGGAAAAGGTTGGAAGGAGTTAAGGAGGCAGGAAGCGTGCTAAGGTTCTGAACAATGAGTGGTTGCCTGCTGTGTTTGCTGTGAGAAGGAAACTATCCACTGACCTGCTGTGGGTTTTTTTTCTTCTCAGTTTTCTCCTTTCTCTGTCGTTGTTTCCTTCCAGGCTGACTCACTACTGGACCGCCTGAAAACTGAAGAACTCTGAGAGAACAAGAGAGTGAAGGGAACACTGTAAAAGAGGGAGTGAGAAGAAAGGAAGGAAGGAGGGAGGGAAAGAGGGAGCAAGAAAAGTAAAGACGGTGAGGAACACTAGACGGGAAGAGAGGCAGCAGGAGAAAGTCAGGTTGGGTCAGAAGGGCAAGAGGAGGAAAGAGTAAGTGATAGTGGACAAGAGAAGTATAATTATTCATCTATTAGGCAGTGAGTGGAAGAATTTAAAGTCTGATGAGAATAAGTCAAGCGGTCAGACGGACAGCTGACTGAGCTTCAGACAAACCCACTGTCCTGCTAACCCTCCAACAACTGTCCCTTCACGGTCACCATACTGGGAGAGCTGGGAGAACTGGTCACGAGGAGAAGCCACCATGAGCGACCAGAACGTCGTCAAGGAAGGCTGGGTCCAGAAAAGAGGCAAGTTTTCCTTCTTTTTCTATTAGGAATTCTAAACTCTGGTCTTTAAAAACACATCTGGCAACCTTGTAGCTCTGAGCATTCCAAATAGAGCTGCAATGAATTGAATGGTGATTTGATAATGGATTCGATTTTCAAGCAAAAACGTAGTATTTATTTGTTATGCTTATCCTACATTGCAGTAAATTGAAGAAATAATTGGCAGGTTAATCAATGCTAAATTGTAGACCTAGTGAAGAATCAGACCTGCAGTGTAACCAGAGCCTGATGTGTTATTCCTCTGTTGTGTCCCACAGAGTTACACTGCTGTCCAAAGTTGTCATTCCCATATACACTAAACTCTCGTCCCAAATACCTGTTAGAGCACCAAATGTGGATTAATCTTAAAAATAGAACTGGAAGATTTATTAATTTTTTGCAGACAAAGTCATGGTGTGAATGTGTTTGAGTTTTCAGCACAAAAGTTGTTAGAAACCCACCTGCACAGGAGTTAAACACAATTAATATAATGCTATTCACTGCTGTACTGTTAATGCATGTGCACCTCTGTGCAAGGAGGAAAGATGAAGGAGATGGAGAGACACGTGGGATTGTTTTGAAGGGAAAGCAGTTGGTATGCTCTTAAATTCTAGCAGAAGAGCAGAAAATCATATTGATTACTGTTTATATACAGTGATCAATAGTTTAGCCTACCCTGATTTGTTAACATAAGTGGATGGACATCAGTTGTACAAGTGAAATACTATTAATTTAATTAGTTTCTTAACATTTGCCTGGTTCAGTAATCTCTTTTCTAGCTTTTTAATTGTTTGTTCATGCTTGTTTAAATACAATTAAGGGAAATAGCAGTCTAATATACATCGGAAAAAGTAATGTTTGAAGTTTATCTTAAAACAAAAAAATCAAAATCATGCTGGATGGACTGAGAGGGAGTCATGTTAGACTCAAGAGGCTCCAAGGCTTGTAATACATTTGTAAAACAGTCGTATCCAGCTATTGGCACAAACTTTGCCTTTTCTCTTTTTAGTTACACCCAGGATGCTGATGTGTTGCTAATTTTATTAGAGACCAACTGTTTTTTTAAGTTAGTTGTTATTCTGTTATGACCAATATACGTTTGAAGTGATACTGAAAAAACTGTCAGTTTCAAAGAACATACATTTCACTACTAAATGTAGTTAAATGCCTGTTTATTCGTGCTTTTGTTATATATTATTATATTGTTCTGTTATAATTAACTGCATTTCACTTCAACAAAGTGCAATCTTTGAGCAGTTCTGCAAAACTGGGAAAATGCAATCATTTATGTCATCATAGAAATAGATCATGAGGGCTGTGGGATATGACCAAAATCTCATATCCCGTTATGAGATGTTTCTCATCACGATAACGATATATATCACAAAATAGCGCTTTTTCTGTAAATTCTGTGAATCTCAGGCAGTTCGACTTGTGTGAAGTGTTTCCAGCTGGGCGTCGAGTGTTTTGACCGATGCATGAAACTTTGAGTATTTATTGCATGGGATGCTGCGGGGAAAAGCCTGTTCTAACGTTTGAGTCTAAGGTTTATTTTGAGCGCCTGACGGCTCTTTTTTGCTTCTCATCTCCCCATTCACATGATTCTTGTGTAGGTGGTAGAAGAGATTTGTCGTGTTTGAGTCCGTTGTGGGGACCGGTTTGAGGCATAATTTGCATAGTACAGTTTTCTGGTCCCTGTCGGACGTTTCATAACCAAACCATGTCCATGCAACTGAGGTAGCCCCTTGTTTAGGAATAAGGTCCTCGATTTGTTTTGACTGGTCTTTCTGTTTGGAGCTACCTGGTTCTGGCTCGTCTTCACTGGCCACGGTGGTATTCTCCGTGCCCTGATGAAAAAATATTGCCGTAAACTGTGTATTTTGCGACACCACGAAACAAACAATAGCGTATAATTTGAAACTATAGATGTTTTCATTTTGTCGACCGATATATATCTTCGTATCGCACATATCACACCTGTAGTGAAAAGGACTAGGATGTCTATAAGAAATATAATTAATTTCCTAACCTGCTTACTTGAATTACTCCACTCAAATGGTATACTCTGCATTCATAAATTACCGTATTTCCCGGACTACAAAGCGCACCTGAATATTAGCCGCACAAGCTAAAATCAGGGGAAAATCCTGTTTTGTACATACATTAGCCGCACCTGACCAAAAGCCGCAGGTGTTTCAATGTTGACTTATCATATGTAAGAGAATATGCACAAAGGGAATTGTCAGGAAAGAGATGGCTGTTTGGAGACACACCCCTTTTATTAATATTTTGAAAAACAAGTTATGGGTACATATTTGCACATGTAGTACATAACAGTAACCTACAGCACACCAGGAAAATAGATTCGGACTACCTTTTAGGCTCAGGTGCAGTGACACGGCTTTAACAAGAAGAAAAGTCAGTCATTCACCATCTTTCTCTTCTTCCTGCCCACTAAAAACACCAAAGTCCTCTCCTCCAATGTCGGAAACGAACAGGCTCAGGATCGCTTCGTCATCCACTCTCCGCTTCTCTCCTTCGTTGTCACTTTCAAAACCAAAGAAATCCTCGTTGTCAGTGTCAGAGTCGAACACCCTCAGAAGGGCCGTGGCGGTGTCCTCCTCTCCATCATGCAGCAGTCCAGCCCTTCAAAATCCGTTGGTGATCGTGGATGTTTTCACACTTTTCCACGCTGTCAGAATCCACCGGTGGAGTTGGGCATAACTTGCTTTTCGCAAGTTTATCGCCGCTCGTCATCCACGCCTCCCGCTGAATGCGTAGCGCTACTTTGAAGTTTGTTTTTCGCGCTACTTCGTACGGCACTACGTTGCCTGGCGGACGGACATGTGACTAACATACCACTCTTGAACCCCGATCCTTCCGCCAGGCAACGTAGTGCCGTACAACAGCGGAACACACAAAACAAATCGTCTTACGATATCACAAAAATCATGGAAAATCCATAGAAAAGCCGCACCTGACTAAAAGCCGCAGGGTTCAAAGCTTGTGCAAAAAGTAGCGGCTTATAGCCCGACAATTACGGTATTAGATTAGTTGAGTGTAACTAACTTGTAGTGGTGTTTGGATCTGCAGCCTTGTTGCAAGATAAGGTTCATGTTGTCTGTGCAGAATGTGGCTTTATGCCCTTTTAATCTGACTCAGCCTACCTATGACTAGCACAGTGAACTGACTGTTGAGTGTTTTAGAGCTGCACTGTTTCACGGGGCTCTCATCTGTCTTACTTTTCACATTATTTGTTAAGAACTTTCTTTGACAGAAGCGAGAGGGGAATGGAGGGTGCTGCTGTCTGTGGTGGGTAGCGCAAGGTAGAGTAAGATCTTAGAACCAACAGCAACTGTTGTTGCACTTGAAAAAAGTCCTAATTGTCTCATTGACTAGTTGCTCACTTTGCTTCTGGCTGTTTTACTTATTAAACGTATAAACCAATGATTATTATTATTACCAATTTATTTTTAAGATCAGTTCACTGCTAAGAGGGCTTAAAAAGAAACCGCTTGTGCTTTTCAACACACCGGCTTCAGTCATAATAGATTTGTTTTTATCCAGCTATGTGTGGACATGGCCTGAGCCACCATGCCAGTTTGAAGCACAGAACCTCCAAACAATGGTTGTTTACCTGCCAGACATTGAGCAGTGAAGGCAAGCTTTGCAGGGCTGCAGCCCAGTCTGAACTGCACTTTGCTGGTGTGTTTTATTTCCCACACTGGTTTTTGTGTTTGTGTAAGTGTGTGTTTGTGTTTGCTGAAGGTGGGTTTGTCTGGTATGAGCTCAGGGCTTTTGGCTGGCAGGCAGGGGGAAGTTTCTCAGTGGCACTATGAGCATACAGAGGATGACCTAACACTCTGGTTCCTTCCTATCTGGCCCCCACAAGTCCCTGAATTGTTTATTGCGCCTCTGTGTGTTCTTATAATTCAGCCTTAATGTCCGTCTCAGGGACGCTGTCCTCACAAGCTCTCTGTGCTGTTTCAACATCAAAACTCAAGAGTTCACATTAAGTTCAGGAAAGTTTGGACACAGTTTCCACACTACATATTAGTGGGCGTGGGGAACACACATTTTTACATATAGCTGGTTTAAAACAAAGCAGAGGAAGCACAGTTTTGCACTATAGCTAGCTTTCACAGAATGCAAGTAAAATGTTTCACATATCAGTTAAATTTTCTAATCTAATTTGACAGATGTTAAAAGGGATCTGTTAACCTCTCCTTCATTTTTTCATATCTGCTGCTATAAAGGTAGAAGTTTATATTAAACATTGCTGAAGATTAAAAAAAAAAAAAAAGACTTTAGTGTCTCTACAATGTATCCCTGTGAGCCAAAGACTTGGGCTTCAGGCTGTGTGCCTGTGTTTTTATTTCTTTGCTTGTTTGTTTGTTTGGTTTTTTTTTTTTGGGGGGGGGGGTCTACTTTTGGATTCAGTGATGTCACATTGCTCTGGCTGTTGGCACAGAGGTCCCACCAACCTGTTGTTTAAACCTTTTTGTTAATCAGAAGGAAGGGGGCTTACAGATAGGGTGACCTTAAAACAAGAGAACCTTAAATAGCTTGTTTAAAGAGGATGGACTAAAGAAGTTGTAAATGAGTTGGAAGTTCCCTCTCCTGGGAGTAAGGAAGAGGGAGGCCAAGCAAGACCAGCTGAAGCTGCAAGTTGTTTAATGTGATCAGGTATAGATTTAAACTGTAACTTAATGGGAAATCATTCAGTTTGAAAGGTCAAGTAGGGCAGGACCAGACAGTACACATTTTGAAGAGATTTATATGAGTAATAGCTCAACTGATATAAAAAATGTAGTTCTACTATTCCACTGTACAAATATCTGGACATACAGCATGTTTCTGTTAAGCAGAGATGTGGACTGTTGAGACAAAAAATACATTCAAAAACCTTTCTCCAGCTTTAAAGGTGCAGTATGTAAAATCTCACCAATGGATGTCAGATTGATGACAACAATCTGTTTTCCCTCCCAATTGAAGTGCACAATCCTAGCTATGCTGGCCACTCTAGGACAAAGAGCTGTTCTTGCCGCCATTCATCTGTAATGAATGTAGGCTGTCAGTCCACTGTTTACCTCAGCTGACAATATGCTGCATCACCATGTTTGTTTATTCTGAATGAGGCTGTAAAACGTTCAGATATCAATTCATGATTCAGTGAAGCTCGCGTGTTTACATTAGCTGGCATAATTTTAGCCTATAACTAGCTGTTAATGTTTAGCAAGCTAAGTGTCAGCTGCTTAGAGCCAGGAGGGTTCCCCGTTTAATCTGCTGACAGTAATTGCGACAATGTCGAGTTTGTTTTTTCTAATAAATGACCCCCACTAAAATTGCTTACTTTACCCTTAAAGTAGAGCTGCTGTCAGCGGCAGTTATCTTACTGACAGAGATATTTGGTGTCTGTCTCATGCCGAAGCCTTTATCCTTCCCATAAGACTGTTTTTTTTGTTTTTTCTGAAGCCTTGTGAGTCATCACATGTCATAGTTTCTTCAGGGTTTGACTTGTTTGATAGACCATAAAGTGGTTCAGATATTAATCACTGATATCACAGTTCTTTGTTAACTCTGCTGCTAGTATGACTCTCTAATTTATCAAGATATAAATATATATATATAGGATGTATCCATGGTAGATGGTAAATGGCCTGTGTTTGTATAGCGCTTTACTAGGACTACTACTAAGGACCCCAAAGCGCTTCACACATCCAGTCATCCACTCATTCACACACTGGTGATGGCAGCTACATTGTAGCCACAGCCACCCTGGGGCGCACTGACAGAGGCGAGGCTGCCGAACACTGGTGCCACCGGGCCCTCTGACCACCACCAGTAGGCAACGGGTGAAGTGTCTTGCCCAAGGACACAACGACCGAGACTGTTCAAGCCGGGGCTCGAACCGGCAACCTTCTGATTACAAGGCGAACTCCCAACGATCGCCCTATGTACCCAAGTAACATGGATACAGCACAGCATAATTACAGCATTTGTTGTAATTATGTCACAAATATATGACTCAGATAGCAGGGAAGCAACACATAAATTGTTATATGGAGTTTGGGGGTGAAGCTAAAATGAGTAAAACAAAAAATGACACAAAATAACAATTACTAGGTTTTAAAGGGATGACTCGTTTGTGACTTTGCAGACGTTTTTAATCCTAGTTGAAAGTGTAATCTCTGGATCTTTCTGAACTTGAACAGCATTCCCCAGCTATCATTAGTTTAGTGTGAGGTCTTCATGATTAAAACACCAGTAAATAAAAGTCCAAAGTGGTCTTAGTGGTAATCTGTGGATTAGGAGCTGGCACTGGTACTTAATTCTATTTTATAGAACAGACTTATGAAAGGTTTAAAAAGACGTGATAGTACCAGGGTATGAGCTGTTGGTGCCATTTTTATCTTTTATTCCCTACCTGCAGGAGAGTACATCAAGAATTGGCGACCACGCTACTTTCTGCTGAAGACAGACGGCTCTTTCATCGGCTACAAGGACAAACCACAAGACTCTGACCTGGCCTACCCACTCAACAACTTCTCTGTAGCAAGTAAGCCATGAGTAGATCATCGCACGTTTCAAACATCACTAACTTTGTACGACTCAACACATCTCTCTGTGTGACTGTCAGAATGCCAGCTGATGAAGACGGAGCGGCCAAAGCCAAACACCTTTATCATCCGCTGTCTGCAGTGGACGACAGTCATCGAAAGAACTTTTCATGTTGACACTCCTGATGAGAGGTGAGCTGTCATCTTACAAATTCCTGTATTTCACTATTACAGCAGCCTTAGATAATGAAGAAGATCCTTCTAAAAAAAAAAAAAAAAAGGTATACATCTTAAGGAAAAGGAGAAAAAATATTACAGAAGTTACGTAGATTCTGTTTAAATAACTTTGTCTGATTTATAGTTAAAAATAATGTCCTTTTGATACTTGTTATAGAGCCTCAATACATTCTTTCATATTTTTAACTTCTTAAGCCTCCAGCGGGGCCGGAGCTGAAGTTTAGCTGACCAAAGGCAAGATGTAGGGTGCGCTGCCCTGTCTGTGTTCTTCGCAGGGAAATTTAGAATCACAAATCAATCTAAACCTGAGAGGCTTGAATCCAGAACCTTCTTACTATGAGGCACCACACCACTGTTCAACCCCCCCTCCTTCTGAAACAAGTATCTCTCTCTTTAAGTGAACGTTCTTCTGATTGGCTTTGATATTAAACGCAGATCTACGAAGGCAGATCGGTAAGGCTTCCGTGTTCACAGAAATACCTCTAGGGTTGAAGTAATCATATTAGCAATATCCTATCTCACTGACATAAAAAGCCAAGAGTAGGAGGGAAAAAAAGCAGCGTTTAGAACAGTGTGCATGTATGACAGAGAAAACGGAAATGCATTGCAGCTCTTTTAATGTAAATAATTTATTAGATTGTGGGCTTCCATTGACTGTGTGTATTTATTATGAAGAAAAAATAAATAATATTTAATAAAAAGATATGAGAGTCATTACCTAATATGAAAGGAGTGGGTCAGATTATGGAAATGGTTGAATTAAATTCTAATTACTTTACACAGCAGGATTCAATCAACACAATGAGAAGACAGTCAGGAAGTGAGTGGGACTGAGATGGAAAGTCAAGTTTTGCAAGTAAACACTAAAAAAATGTACGCACAAAGACCTGATACCTGATGTGAAATGATTTGTTACTAACAACATTAAACTAAAAACACATGAGTGGGGGTGGTTTTATCACAGATTTGGTTGGTTTTGAGGATGGTGGATCGCTGTGAGAGACCCTGAAGAACAGTTTGTTCTGACCAAGTATATCCAAAAGGTTCCTTAAAAAGTTTTAAAAGGCAAGAAAAAAATGTAACAAACATCTTAAGAAAATGTCTTAAACTGAACACTGAGGACTCTAAACGATGCAAGACAAAGAAGTCGGAGTTTCGTAATTTTTTTCACGTTGCATTTTAAAACAATTGCTCACATTTATAAAGATTGACAGAGTGCCACTTGGATTATTAACATACAGATCAGGATAGAATTCACAGTTCATCACCAGTGATTCTGTTCTTACTCACCATTGTATCTCATATTTAGGCCCCCAGCAAATTGTTATTTATAAGACTCTGCTGTAAAGATTTCATGCTTACCTTTGATCCTTGATTGAATTTAATCACAGTATTATTATGTAGTTGTTTTTCTCAGGGTTTTTTTTTAACGGTTTTCTGCAGACAGATTCTTCTTGAAAAAGAGGCGTCAGTCTCCAAGAGATTACCTGTTTGAATTAACAATTTATACTACTACTACAAATCTTGAGAACTTGACAAAAAAATGTGCAGCCGGAAGCTGTCGAACTAAAGAAGAATACTTTGCAGAGTGACGTTATGAAAACTTTAACCTTTCCCATACGGAAGGCATATAGTTTAATTTAACCATCTATTTAAGAAATTTAGAAAATAGACTTTTGACGTTTAATCTATGATGTTGTTTCCACGTATCTCCTACAGGGACGAGTGGGCTGAGGCCATCCAGATGGTAGCAGAGTCACTAGCCAAGCAGGAGGAGGAGGGCATCTTGTGCAGCCCCACCTCCCAGATTGAAAACGTCAACGAGGAGGAGATGGACACCTCCATTAGCCACTACAAACGAAAGGTAGAGACTGCTTTAATTCTCATTTCCAGCTTCATACTTTTATTGCTGGAACTGTCCTAGAGTAGTTTTTCATGAGTTACAGTTCAAAATAATCCTTGTTCATCATATGCTGGGCCTTGAAGCACGCCCACTCTCACCTGAAACAAGCTGTTTTAGCTTGCTTCTTAATCTCTTTAGGCCTCCCTGCTGATTGAGTGCCTCTAAATAACGTAAAATCTGAACAGCAAGATATCTGTGTCTGCTCTCGTTTCTTTAACTGAAACCGAGTGTTTAAAGCAGTGTGAAACCCGAGCTTTTGGTTCATCTGGATTACTGCTACACACACTGACCTAATTTCCGGAAACCTGAACATCCACTGTCGTACCGCTACAAATATGACAGAAAATAAGAAGAAGCATAGAAGTCCAACTGTAATAAAGCAGTTGAGGTTAAAACAGTATCAAGGACTCACAATACAAAGTGTTTGTGGGATATACAGTAAAAATCAGTATTGTTGATCTGACCATTCTTCTATGTCCCAGTTTGTGAGCTGACTGGTTTACTTTAAGCATATTGCTTTGAAGATGAAGTGTACTGAAGACTGGAGAAATGCTTATGACAACTGTTTCCTGATATTTCTTTCCACAGACAATGAATGACTTTGACTATTTGAAGCTTCTGGGCAAAGGCACTTTTGGTAAAGTCATTCTGGTGAGGGAGAAGGCGAGCGGCACCTACTACGCCATGAAAATCCTCAAAAAAGAAGTCATCATTGCCAAGGTCCTCTTTTAAATGATCAGCCTTATTGCTGAATAATTCAGTAACGAGGTGTATTTTTTGAATCTACTGTTACATATTTGACTAATCTAATCTGAATCTAATTACAGCATGTCTGCCTTCTAATATTTGGTGTTTTGCATTTGTTAGATGAAGCACATTCATATCAAACATTCTCTCAAATTTTAGATTTCAGCTCAGTACTTTTTACTCCTCACTAATCATTGCTCTTTAATCTTTTTGAACAGGATGAAGTTGCTCACACTCTCACAGAAAGTAGGGTTTTAAAAAATACTCGGCATCCATTCCTAACTGTAAGTATGGTAGATTGCATGTATCATTGCACCACATACAGCCACATCCTGCTAGGAGTTGTGTGAACCAAGTTGTAATTTGCATTTTGTCCAAACAAGCCATGACTACTAGCATCTGTGCAGAGACTCTTAAGAAGTGTTGTGAAGACTAACAGCTGGAAAGATGCACTCGATTCAAAGAGCTTTTGTGTTGCGTTTGAAACAAATGGCGCGTCTGGGTTTAAAATATATTTCAATATTTTTCACAGTCTCTGAAGTATTCATTCCAGACAAAGGATCGGCTGTGCTTTGTAATGGAGTATGTCAACGGAGGAGAGGTAAGAAGTCACTCAGAGACTTTTTAAATAGCACTTTGATGAGAGATGTTTTCGTTTAACATACAAGGATTTTTAAAAATTATTGAATAATGTTGATTAACATGACAGTATGAGATCCAAAGTGCTTTTAGAGCAAGCAGTCTCTCACTAGATAGTGTTATGTTTCACTGGGAAACACGTTGGACTGGGAAGTCTGAACTTTTGTGGTTCCATTGTGGTAATAGTTTCATCATTTTAAAGCACGAATCAGTTCAGGGTTTATTTAGTTTATTTTATGACCATAAAGTGACAATTATGATATATAAAATGATTTTAAGCAACTTTAAGTGTTTGTAGATGTTTTTTAATTCTATCTATATTGAATCTATTAAATGTGTGAGTGACATGGAGACTTGGTCTCCTTTATAGATTTGCTTTAAAAAGTTATTTATTACTTTTTAAAACTGGCTTGTGTATATTTGTACATTTTATATATTTTTTCTCTGTTAATACTGTCCATATGCATATAGTGCTGCAGAACTGTGCCCCCCCAGCATGTTTGCACTGAGTAGGAGATGCTCTGTATCTCATTGTACAACTGTATAGTGACAATAAAGGCATTCTATTCTATTCTATTCTATTCTATTAAACTGAACAATGATTCTGCTTTTGTTTGGACTAAAACTGTGTGTAATTCAAAGTTGTTGTGTTTGCTTGCTGAAGCTATTGAGTCATGATTTCACCAAGTGAATTATCACTCGATAAGAGAAACATATCTAAACTGCATGAATTCTTATTGTTTCCCTGTCCACAGCTATTTTTCCACTTGTCAAGAGAGAGAGTTTTTTCAGAGGACCGCACCCGTTTCTATGGCGCTGAGATCGTCTCTGCTTTAGATTATTTGCATTCTGCCAAGATCGTGTACCGTGATCTGAAGGTAAAGTACACCTGCTCTGTGTGAGATCTGAGAAGTGTCCGTTATTATTCTGAATTTCCTGCTTATTAAAGGATACAGTAAAGGTTAATGGGTTTTATTCTTCTCCTCAACTGCTCATCAGCTGGAGAACCTCATGTTGGACAAAGATGGCCACATCAAGATCACTGACTTTGGTCTCTGCAAAGAAGGCATCACTGACACTGCCACTATGAAAACCTTCTGTGGAACACCGGAGTACTTGGCTCCTGAGGTCAGCGGTCACACCAGATACACATAAAGACTATTATCTGAATTTTGGGTTTCAGATGTTGACAAACCTTCCTATGGCTATAAAAAACAAGAAAGAGAGCATAAGATTAAAAAAACAAAACCAAATTTATCCGGTTTGTCCTCTGTAACAAATTCAGGAAGGAAACTGTTTTTCGGATCCTCTGTTTGTCTGTGTGTCACCACCCAGCAACTACCAGGTCCAATGTGGAAGTGCCCTAGGAGGCAGTTCCTCTGATGAAGGGTTTTCTTTCCAGTGGGTAACTGATCTCACTTCTTTTAATGTGGTTCTCAGTGGAGAACTAGAAAGTTGTTTGCTTCATAAAGAGGATATGAAAGAGGTTATCACACAGTTAAAGGTTGAAAAAAGAATTTTTGTGAAGTTCTCAGTTGAGCTAATCATAACGATAGTGGCCTCGTGGCTTTTAATATAAACAGTCACTAGAGGAGAACCTTTTATGTAGGGCTTCTTCTGAATGAAATACAAATGGGGCTAGTGGGAGCAATACAGTAAAAGGGTTTTTGTGTAAATCCTCAGGTGCTAGAGGACAATGACTATGGACGTGCAGTGGACTGGTGGGGTTTGGGCGTGGTGACATATGAGATGATGTGCGGACGCCTGCCCTTCTACAACCAGGACCACGAGAAGCTGTTTGAGCTCATCCTCATGGAAGAGATAAAATTCCCACGAACCCTGTCAGCTGACGCCAAGTCACTCCTGTCAGGGCTGCTCATTAAGGACCCCAACAAACGGTATGCATGCAAATGTAATTTTGATCAGCTTACCTGTGCAGTGAAGTTCTTTTTATTGCTAACTGCCCTGTCCTGTTTAGACAGAGTCCCCTCATTGACACAAAGACTCTCTACGAGTCCTGACTTCACTACTGACTTAGCTACGAATGGAAAACCTGCTGACTGTCTGAGGTTCACTCAGCGGTTTTCTGTCACTGATAGCACACTTAAAATGTACAGGTGCAACAGGCCTTTCTGTCAGGTCTTTTCAAAGGGATAAGAAAACTAAGAAAACCAAATTTTAACCAACATTTTTTTAAACTGTATGAGAGATGTGCTTAATGTGGCAGGCAGGCAAATGCAGCATGCAAGTTGCACTTCAACCAGGTGCATTTTGCTGCTAGCAGCATTTCAAAGCCTCAGCTTTACTTTTCTAAACATACCTCATGTCATTGTGGCTAGATAAATTAATCTTTATCTTAGGGCTGCACGATTAATCGTTAGAAAATCGCGATCTCGATTCATACTTATGTGCGATCTCATTTCCAAATGACAACGATTTAAAAAAAAAAAAAAAAGAAAGAAAGAAAAAAAGACGACGATTGTACCGCATTTTGATCCGGGACGTACTCTGCATGAAAACAAGCGCTCACTCTTCCTGCTCAACAAATGACGAGGGCGGAGCCTTATACCACGTGATACAGAAGCTGTGCCGTGTGATGCTAAAATTAGCAGGAAAAAACCACGGAGAGCACGTCAGGGATGACGAGAAAGTGACAGGAGAAAATCCGTCCCGGTCAACCACCCAAACATCAATAACGGGAACCTTATACAGCGCTTCCCTTTACCCGTCGAACTCCCACAGGCACAAAGACATTACGGAGGCTATCACTTATCACCTGACCACAGATATGGCTCCATCAACACTGTGCAAAACGAGGGATTTAGGAAAATGATCAACACCCTAGACAAACGCTACACAGTGCCGTCCCGCAACTATTTTTCTATTGTTGCACTACCTGCTCTATACACGCAGCGTCGAGCAACGGTGGAGACGGAATTTCAAGCAGTACAACATTTTGTTGTTTTTATGTTTATTTATTGTTTTTATGTTCAGTCTCAACTGTTACGAAGTTGATGTGCAGTTAATAAGTGCAATAAATATTTATACTGGAAAAGAAAATCGTGAGAGAATCGTGATCTCAATTCTAAGCCAAAAAATCGTGATTCTCATTTTATGCAAAATCGTGCAGCCCTACTTTATCTTCTCTGACCATAAAACTTTTCTCCAGAAGGCATTTGGCTTGTACGGGTGAAAATCAGCAAATTATAGTTTTGCTTGAAGCTGTCGATTTTGGAGCAGGTGCTTCTTTGTTGGTCAGTACCTTCTCTGTCCCTGGCAATGTAAAACTTATTATTATTGTGTGTTCCAGTAGTTTCCAGTTAATGGCAGGCTTGAGCCTCTGTGCTTCTTTAACATCCTAACTTTACCTAATTTCAACCTGAGGTGGAATTTGCGTCTCCTGCCAGACTTTGGCAAAGTGGTTACATATCCAGATAACATGTTCTTACATACAGTTGCTTAAATTAATAATCTTGCGCACACTTGATGAGAGCACAAACTCTTTATGTTAATGGGTGCCCAGCTAAAATGTTCTCAGGCAAAACCAGCTGGTGGCTGCGTTCAAGTTTCCACTCTTATCATCCCTGAAGCATTTTCTGTGTCTAACGAAGACGCCAGTGAAAAGAGGCTACTGCAGCTTCACTGAGCGAACTTGTTCACCCCATCAAGTTATTTTGGGATCAGTAGCAGGTGGATATTCTGGTTCCATTGATGGAGACTTTGTGAGAGCGCTATTTGATGTATGACTTTGACGCCATCTCCTTCGTATTCTGTGTGTTGGTTGACAGGTTGGGCGGTGGACCGGATGACGCTAAGGAGATCATGCGGCACAGTTTCTTTGGCACAATCGACTGGCAGGACGTCTACGACAAAAAGGTGAGAGCAGGATTTAGCTGCTAGACGTCATCGCCACTTCAATCGAAATCGATTCAAACAGTGTTTCTGAGGTATTCTGGTATCAGGGTTACCGTATTTTTCAAAAGAAGTCTGGCTGACATGTAAAATCCAAAATGGAATGAAAAGGACAAAACATTACCTCATCTTTATTTCATTTGAACACTATAACACAGTCAGACAAGTACCACCAGGTCGTTTTATACATATTTGTATGTTGTTTTTTTCTCAACTTGAGCTTTCATAATAACGTGTCCACCCAGGCCTCCCATGTGCGTATTGGAGACACAGACATATGGTGTGAAGTTTTAAACTGATTTTGTTCCCCAGTTCTTCTGTGTTCACATTTGGACCAGGAAACTGTATTCCCCTGAAATTTGCCTTTTTTGTACGTCTAATGAAGAAACATAACACACTCTGTAGTCTGGTGATAATTTCTTTGTATTAGTGTATGTTAGACTATCTAAAAGTTTAGAACTCACCAAAATAATTTTAATAAAGTAAAAAGAAAAAAAGGCTCTAAATGTTTGATTTGAGTTCTGTTTAAGGTGAACAAAAATATCTAACCCTAACTGTAAAAGGACCTAATTAGTAAAGGTGAATTTTAAGCCTAATCTTAAAAGTACAGAGGGTGTCTGTAGGGTAAAATGCTCTATTAAAATCTGTGTTATATTAGCACGACTGATAAAAGTCATTTGACAAAAAAAGTGTTCCTTCAGTTGAAACGACAGCATATGTGAAGCTGTTTGAAGACTGAACCCCTCAGTGATACAACACCACCGCTCTCTGCTTTCTGTCCGTCCCAGTTGGTACCACCCTTCCAGCCTCAGGTCACCTCTGAGACAGACACGCGCTACTTCGATGAAGAGTTCACAGCACAGACCATCACCATCACTCCACCGGAAAAATGTAAGTGCACATTCACTGTAATTTATTGCATTGTATTAACTGACTGAGATGACACTGCCAGCAGCTAGTGTGAGTTTAGCGTGTTTGCATGGCACTGGCTCTAAACACCAACTGCAAATGAAAACAGTATTAGTATTGGACACACTGAATATTTGAGGAGAGTCGGGGTAACTGCCGTTAAAGTTTGTAAGGACAACCTTACTGTCCATAATTGGAACATTCTTATGTTTTCCTGTTTGTGTTTTTACAGACGATGAGGACGGGATGGATGCAGCAGACAACGAGCGAAGGCCTCATTTCCCACAGTTCTCCTACTCGGCCAGTGGCCGAGAGTGAGCTCCAGCCCAGCCAGGCAGTATCGTCCCCATTTGTGGCCATTTTGAGGAAAACGCGTAGCCATTTTAGGAAAAAAAAACAAAAACAAAAAAACACCAGTCTCCCCTCTTTTTCTTCTTCTCTGCCTCCTTGCAGAGGGGGAGAAGTCTTTTTAGGGACTTTAAAAGAGGTTTTTGCACAGTGGGATAGACTCCAGCCGGTCTCCCCACACTAAAAAATAAGTCTCCTACATTTTCAGCGCTATTTACTGCAGAAGGCAATGTTTTTGTTATTTCTTTTTTCTTTCTGTCAGTATTAAGTTGTTGACCCAGGTTGCGTTAATATTTTTGTTTGTTTGTTGTTTCTGCCCATTTTTTGTTCTTCTTTTAACTTTTTTGCACTTGGTTTGGAAGAGCCGTTTTAGGGAACAAAAAACCAAAAATGTTGCCTTATGTGTGCAGATGTTTTGCATCATACCTACAGGGTGGTGTTTTTGTTGTTTTTGGGGATTGGGATTTTTCATCAGGGGAGAGGGTGGGTGGGTTCTGGGATGTGAAAGGTCATAAATAGTTGAGAAGAAGTGCATGGCTCATGGTTCACTCATTAAAAAACAAAAAAACAAAAAGAAAGAAAGAAAAAAAAAAACCTCTTCCTCGTACATTTGCCATGGCAGCGCACATTTCCCAAATCCATGGTGATGAAAATCACAGTGAGCCTACAGATTACAAAAAACAAACAAACAGAAAAGAGAAGCTGGAAGATGAGAATGGGTGAATCTATATCATTCCTTTCATTCGTCGCAGTAACTTCCCTCTTATTTTATTTTTGCGCTTTTTTGAAGTTACTTTGAAACAAGAAACACTAAACTGCCAGAAACTGCACAGTTCACTCAGGCGCCACAGAGCACAACCGCATTCAAACTCAGCTTAACCGCTCCAGCTTTCCACAGCCGGCAGGGGAACGAGGCCTTTCTCTGCAGCATCGCCGCTTCTTCTCCTCCTCATCATCCACCTCTCCTCTTTTTTTTTCTTCTTCTTCATTGTAGCTGTAGGACTAGAATGGAATGGATGTTTACACAGGGAAACATGGCTTCATGTATGTATGTACAGTTTGCGATTGAATGGGGGTCAAGAATATGCTGTCATAGCACACAGAAACACACACACACTTACTCTCAGATGTAGTAAACCGCAGTGTTGTCTATAATGATCATAGTGAAGTCGGCAGTTTACTCCAAACTGAGATTTGATGGTCTTTTCTTCTGTTTTTGCAAAACATGGGGACACGAGAATGCTCCACAACTTGCAGAAGCCCCAAGCCTCAGGTCACGTCTACATGCCAAGCAGTTTGCTTGCTGCACATTGCTTTGTAGTTGGTTCTGATGCCTGTTCCTGCTTCTGGTTGCTTATTTAACCCTCTATTGCTACAGTCACACTAGTGAAAACAGTGGTTGGAGTCCAAAGCATGAACAGAATCACTGCAACTGTGTCACCTGCCATCTTCAAAGCACTTTTGGTGCATCAAGACTTTGACAATAAGATTGGAGTCAAGCAGTCAGTTTGCTGTATCCGCTCAGTTTGCAATTTAATGGGGTCAGATTTGTACTTGGATACAATGTTTTTGCACAAATTAACTGTGTTAAACAGATTTGTTCAGTTGCCTTGGGATGGCAATTTTACTTTAAAAATGACATCAGCAGCTTTGTGCATGTACAAGAACACAACCAGTTGCCAACCAGCTGAGACAAGTGTCTTGTTGCACAGAGACAGAAGAGTGGCTCTCTTTGGCACAGGCTGACTCAGAAAGCAACATGTTGTCAGTCTATTTCTAATTATCCAGCGGTTATGTGCAAGCCTTTGAAATCTGAGTGATTTCAGTCACTCTGAGTCAGACCACAGTCGTCTGACAGATTGCCTCCCACCAGGCGACCTTTGGAACTGCCTTGCGATCTAAAGAGGTCACTGCAGTTACTTGCAGTTAGTTACCAAATACAAAAGTATACACTGGACAACCACTTTTCATTTTTTGTTATTTTCCTTTTTGAATTTCAATTCAATTTTATTTATATAGCCCCAAATCACAACAGTCGCGTCAAGGCGCTTTATAAGGTATGATTCAATGCAGAGAGGTCTATTAACACATAGTGAGTGAGAAAGGTGTCTGCAAAGGAAAAACTCCTTGCATCAAGTCACAAGAAGGTTTTTGACCGTTCAGACTGAGCTTCATGCAGTTCCGTCCCCATCATGTGTTAGTTATTTTGGTCACTGAACTGATTCCTGCTGGCCTCTGCTATTATGGAGGCCCCTCCAATAGCCTCCAAATAGTGAGTCCTTAACACAAGTAACCTAGCTGTTATATCCAGAAACCAAAATTGACAATCTTCTGGTATCGCCTGTTCCAATGTGTGTTCTGACATGTAGCTGAAAAAGTGTTTTGTTCATTGGAAACAGTAAGACGTGTGGATATTTTATTGTTTCTTAGCTCAGCTGCTGTTGAAAGTGATCAGAAAGCTGCCAAACTCATTCAGACAGTAAGTTTGGCAAAAAAATGATATGGATGAGAAGATAGTCCTCTGATGTGCTGTGCAGCTACAACTAAAGGCAGTAGTTGGGCAACTACAGCTTAAAGTGATGAATTTATTACAGCATTGGATAGTCAGAGTATGGCCTGGTACCCTACAGGTGGATGTTGCGATGGTTACGAGTAGCAGCAGTACTGACTTGCCAGAGTCAGTGTGGGGACTTTTGCGGCTTAAACCCACCAGCAGACGGTGTGTTTGGAGTGTAGTGAAAGTGAGGGGGCCGTGTTGGTGTTACTAACACTGCAGCTGGAGTTTGCTCGTCTGGACTAGCTCGCAGGCTTGGCTCCCACACTGGCAGTATTAGCATATGTTTAGTGAGTTCTGCCCAGAAGTGGCCTGACTGATGCATCACACTTCCTACAAGAAGTGGAACTGACTGTGGAGAATTGGGGAAAGCGATCCAATCATCCCAAATACTGTCAGCTAAACTGTCCTTGTGAAGCAGCCTTTTCACCTGTGAGCACACATCAGATCTGATTTGCTGGAGAATTCTGCCGACTTGAAAGTATTTTGTACATTTACAGATGTTTGGAAAGATTAAGAAGAAGAACTGAGGATTGGTACGTCTTTGTGTGTTAAAGTAACGACGCAGGTAGAGAAGTACGACCGAGACATATCAAGTAGTGAGTAAAAAGTGAAGGGAAAGGGTTTTGCAGCTGTGCAGGAACCTAAAAAGAAGATTGCTGTAAAGATTTTTTTTTTTAAAGAAAAAAAAGAGAAACATTGTTTTCAGTTTAAGAGGAGAAATATTGACTCACAAACACAGATACAAAGACTGTTTTTACATGACAAATCTTAGTGAAGAAAATGTAATTTATCACACAGATGCTAAGCAGAAGTGAGGCTTCCAGCTCCAGACGCAGGGGTCCTGACCCAATTAATCTTGTCAGTATTATGAGAGAAATGTATTTACACACAGACAAATATTTAAATTGAAGTAAGAGTATCAATAATTTACTGATCATGTCAGATCACAAGAAAACTGAGCCGTGAGACACTCGTGTATGAAGACTGTGAGGACTGCGAGAAAAAAGTGGCCCCAAACTTCTTGGTGTAAATATGCAATGCCTTTTTTGTTCTTTTTGTCTTCACTTATGAGGCATAAACATTTGTTTTCTGTGTGACTGTATGTTAAGCTTGCTGATGAGAATAGTGACCGAAAAATCCAAACCACCCGCAAACGATTCAAAAACTGCTTTGAAGAAAAAAACATTTAAAAGGAAAAAATAAACACGTGTCAATGAATGGACCCTTCCACTGTTTTTTGTTTGGGTTTTGTTTGTTTTTTCAGTTTTGCGTTTGTTTGGTTTTTTTGTGATTCATGAGGATGTTTCCATGGAGACGAACCCCAACCCGCCTTTCTTATGTCACCATGGTCCCTGAAAACGATCGACTCCAGAAATGTGAGGACATCTGTAACATGGAGTCTGCACTGTACTTCTGTTCCCTTCACCTTCTTAAAAAACTATAAGAGGAGCCTTGGAGGACTGTCATTTGTTTGTTTGTTTGTTTGTTTGTTTTATTTCCTGTGTGTGTGTGCGTGTGTGCGGTGCTGGTTTCATCAGGTTTCTTCAGTCCCAATTCCTTCTCCTTCCCTCCTTTTTATACCATAGTGTTTGTTTTATTAATGTTTGTCATTCTAGACAGTGTTACCTTGTATGTTGTTAAAAAGGCACCTCTTGAAAGTCGCTGAAGAATGATGGATGCATAACTGATTTTTTTTTTTTGTCGATCATTTGCTTGTTTGTTTTCTTACCAAAACATTAGGGCAAGAACCCAGTAGTGGACTTGCATTGCCGTGGTAGTATTTATTTTGAATTAAATTAAAAGAAATACATTTCAGGGTTTCTGCTGTTGTGACTCTTTATTTCAGGTGATTTCAGGCCTTTTTCTTTATTGTTTAGATGAGATCTTGCCTTTTATGAAGAAAGAGATCTGAGAAAACTAATAAGTTCAACTTTTTTTACAGATACACTTGGATTGGATTAATATAGCAAAAAAATATTTTGGTTCTTTAACATGGAAGACAAAATAGTTTTTAAAAAAAGCCAAATATTACATTTCTAATATCAAACTATCTGCTGTACAAAAACTTAATAATAAATCTCATAAATTGAAACTGCCCAGGAGCTTCTTGATGTAAAACAAAGTAAGTTTTTTTTTTTTTTTTTGCAAAAACACCACTTGCAGTAAAGATTAGTAGATAATCTGTGGCTTCAGGTTTTTTGTCTGTGAATTACTTAAAAGAGCTAAAATATGCTGCCCCAGAAATGATGGACTCACTAAAATGAACTATGGACTCTTGATGAGTGGAATATTCTAGCTGAAAGTCTCGACTGACACATTCTGGGTCATTTGCCGAGACCAAATCTACTTAACAGTCACTGGAAACCAAAATCATCAAGTCTTTAAAATCAAAGTCAGTTTTTCATGTGCACCTTAACCTTCCTGGCGGAGTTAATAATAGAATAGAATAGAATTCAACTTTATTGTCATTGCACAGGTACAGGGCAACAAAATGCAGTTTGCATCC